CCCATCAACACACTTCTTGGTTCAGCTTGTTCTTTCCATCCTTCCTGAGGAAAGCCTTAAAAGTTCCCGAAGCGCTGCTGTGTTGGTGGGGTAGCTACTCTCTGTCTCACCGCTGCACTAATAAACTCTTTCACTTTAAACTCTAAAAAAAAAAAAAAAAGGAAAAAAGTTTCTAAAGAATGACCTCAAAGAGAAACCAGAGGGTACAAAAACACCCCATTTCCAGAGGCGGGGCTAAATGAGAGGAAGGGAGGGAGAAACATTGATGTGAGAGAAAAGCATCAATCCGTTGTCTCCCATATGCACCCCAACCGGGGATCGAACCCACCACCTACATATGTGCCCTGATCAAGAATCAAACCAGCAACCTTTTGGTGGTGCACGGGAATGACACTCCAACCAACTGAGCCACATGGCCAGGACTTTCCAGACATTTTAATGACAGTCCTTAAAATGAGAGAGAAAGGAGGAACTTGACTGGGACATACCCGCACACGCAAAGAAGAAGGAGGAGGAAGAGGAGAAGGAGGAGCAGGAGAAGGAAGAGGAGAAGAAAAAGAAAAAAACAAAAAAGCTATTTGTGGGAGAACATTTTTGGCCCACGATTGGAAAGCTTTAGAGAATTTAGAGCCCAAAGCATCCATTACTGCCGATGGCAGGCTGATGGCTTAAGAAGAAAGGGAATTTGAGGTCAGGGACATTTTGTGCAAAACTGAAGCTGTGCTTGGGCTTTAGAAGATAAGGCAGACAAATAATGGGTTGCAACAGGAGGAACTGGCCTGTGAGATGCCTCTCCCCCCCTCCCCCTCCTCGCAGCTGCCCCAGGGAACAGACCTGATTTGTGCTTTTGTCTTGCAGTCACCGGCCCTTAAGGCCGCAGAGTGATCAGAGGTATAAACACAGCTCTGCGGCCTGCTAGGAGTATGGCCTGCTAGGAGTATGGCCTTTGGAGTATTCTGGTTCTCCCTTGATGCTTTCCTGTCGCCTTTCAGACCCCTACCGATCCTTTCTGGAACTTGCTGCAGTGTCTGGGCACACTGTGGATGTTCAATGTGTGTTTGATGGATTGATTCAGACTGCAGACGAATTGGGAGGAAAAGACGAAGAGTGGAAAAGAAGGAGTGTTCCACCGCTTTGCTTTCCCTGGGTTCTGTCCCTATCAAGCAAGGGACTCAGAGGAGAGGGCTCGGGGCATCATGTCTGCAGGTTGGTCCTCAGGCTCTCCAGCTGGCTCAGGGCCCCAGTGGAGCAGTGAAAAGGGGGCCTTTCTGCACCCTCCTTCTCACCCCCCCCCCCCCCACCAAAGCCTCTCTTCATTAACAACGAGCACAGTGAAGTGACAGTTGCACACTTAGGAGTAAACCATTCTAATGTTGCCTCCCAGAGCAGAAGTATTTCCCCTCGGATCTCAGTTTCACGCCCGCGGAAAAAGCCAGGGTTGTCTTGCTTGCGGCAAAGCCATTTTGTCTGGTGACAGGAAGTCCTGTGATTTTTCTCGCCAGCTTCCCTGAGGATGCCACCTTTCAGCTACACGCACTTAGATTATTTCTGCCCTCCCCCATCCAACCCTGGGCTGCTAATAGTTTCAGTACTTTTTTCTCCCATTCCTACCTCTCAAGCTCTTACCCAACGGCCCAGAGCTAGAAGCAGTCTCTGGAACAGAGCAGAAATAATGCGAGAATTGTGGTTAGGGCTGAACACGTGTTATCAGTCTGGGAAGAAGCATAAAAACAAGGTGCTTGTTACCACAAGGAGGATGGAGGTATATAAGTTCTTATCCATCATGGGTGGTGATGTGGCTAGTGACTAAGCATAGACTATTTGTTTTAATATTTTTTGTGAAGGTAAATTATTTACTGGGAACTGTCAATGGCTGTGTTAAAAGGGCCCCATGAACGCTATCCAAGGAGGGTAATATACTAATAACAGGCAGTTAATGATATCTGGTGTAATTTTAAAAAATATGATATCCACCACCCTGGCTGGCAGAGCTCAGTGGATTGAGCGTGGCCTGAAAACCAAAGCATCGCAGGTTCGATTCCCAGTCAGGGCACATGCCTGGGTTGCAGGCCACAGCCCCAGCAACCGCAAATTGATGTTTCTCTCTCTCTCCCTTCCCTCTCTAAAAATAAATAAATAAAATCTTTAAAAAAAACTGCTCCTCCTTAAAAAAAAATGATATCCAAAGGACAATGAGAAGGCATTGACGTCAGTATCTTCTTTTTAATAATTAAATTTTTTAGAAAATATTTTGTTTATTTATTTTTAGAGCAAGGGGAAGTGAGGGAAAAAGAGGGGGAGAGGAGCACCTATCAGTTGCCCCTCACACGGACCAAACCCACAAACCAGGCATGTGCCCTGTCCAGGCATCGAACCTGCAATCTTTCAGTTTCCAGGGCAACCCCCAACCGACTGAGCCACACCAGTCAGGGCAATGATTCAGCATCTTTCCTGGGGAGAGAGAGTAGTGTTGATGTAAAAGTCATCCAAACCCGCAGAGAATTGTTATGAGTTTATTTGAGCCCAGACTGACAGTTGCCAGGAAACAAGATCTCTAAGTCTCCGGAGAATGACAGTTCTGCTCCTTTTATGCATTTGAAATGAAGGAAGATCACCAGAAGGTGGGAGAAATGAAGGCAGGGATTGGATTAAAGGATTATGTGCCCTCTTGAGGGTGCATGCCTTGGAGGGATGTTCTGGCATTTCGAAGGTGTGTTAACCTAGATGCACAGGAACGCTGGAGAGGGCTGGTTTGAAAACCTTTGGTTAGAGAAACAATAGGCCTGGGGCATGACAACCCACCATAAGCTGCCCAGTTAGGAATTCATAATTTATTACAGCATCCTGGTAGGATTCTATGTGCGCCTGTGTTTAGGCTGTCCAGTGATCAGTACCTATGTATTTATTTGTTTTCCTTTGGCTTCCAAAGAAATTCCATGGTGTTACAAATTCACTTTGGAAAACATGCAGTTAATGGCATATGCAAATAACATTTAATAAATGCTCTGTTAATATTTACCACGGAGATACATATTCAATAATTTTTGAATAATAATTCAAAATTCTTACAGTCTTATACTGTTAATCTTACTTACTACATGTTAGGGTTCTATAGCCTTTTTTTCTTCTTCCCACAGAGCTTTTATTTTTTTATTCTTAAAAAGATTTTATTTTTCCTGGCTGGTGTGGCTTAGTGGATTGAGTGCCAACCTGCAAATCAAAGGGTCACCAGTTCGATTCCCAGTCAGGGCACATGCCTGGGTTGCAGGCCAGGTCCCCAGTAGGCACGTGAGAAGCAACCACACATTAATGTTTCTCTCCTCTTTCTCCCTCCTTTCCCCTCTCTATAAAACAAACAAACAAAACCTTTAAAAAAAGATTTTATGTTTCCTGGCTGGTGTGGCCCAGTGGATTGAGTGCCAGCCTGCTAACCAAAGAGTCAACAGTTCAATTCGCATTCAGGGCACAGGCCTGGGTTGAGGGCCAGGTCCCCAGTGGGGGGCACAGGAGAGGCAACCACACATTGATGTTTCTCTCCTTCTCTTTTTCCCTCCTTTCCCCTCTGTCTCAAATTAAATAAAAATAAGGAGAATTATTTTAAATAAAATATCTTTTATTCAAAAAATATTTTAAATAAAATTTTAAAAAGATTTTATTTTTAATTATTTTTAGAGAGAAGGGAAGGGAGGGAGAAAGAGAGGGAGAGAAACATTGAGATGCCAGAGAAACATCAGTTGGTTGCCTCTTGTCTCCAACCAGGGATCTGGCCCACAACCCAGGCATGTGCCCTGACTGGGAATCAAACTGACCAGCTTTCAGTTTACAAGCCAGCACTCCATCCACTGAGCCACACCAGCCAGGGCGCCACAGAGCTTTTAAAATAAAACAAATGCCAGCATTTTTTTCCCCTTCCAGTTACATATTAGAGGAAAGCAGGATATTAATATAATTTTCTCAAAGTAAAGAAGCACAAAGAAAGGAAGTCAAATGGAATAAGGCTCCAATATCCTAACTCCAAACTGGCACGTTGAGCGTGGAATCACGTGCAGGATTTTCCATCCTATTCATTGGAAACAGGAGGAAGAGAAAGGGGAGGCGTAGGAAGAGGTCAGAGGGTACAGTACTGACCCCTCAGGAACCTAGAAACGTGGAGGTCTTGGAGGCCGTGAAAACTGCTGCTCCAGGGTTTTCTCCTTCTGCTGACGTTTAGTGCATGGGGAAATGCTGGATGAACAAGTGTCCGAGAGCGCAGCAGCACAATGTGGCCTGAAGCTAAAAGCAAAAGGGTTCATTGGCAGGAGGAACGTCAGGGGTCGAGGAGTGGTTTTTACAAGAGAAACCAGGTGGCGTTCTGGGGACTTGAACTGAAGGGACCTGTGGTCGACAAACTTGACAGTGACCATTGTCTCCGTCTTGGGAATGACAGTAACTGTGTCAGGCTCCTCGCATAACTCTCATTTGGTCATCACTTAAACCCAGTCAGAGCGATTTTATCCCAGTTTTTGGAAAAGGAAACTAAGGCCCGAGAGATTAATTTGACCAAGATCACTCGGCTAGATAGTGGGTGTCAGTTTCCCCGCCTGTGAAATGAGTGAATCACAGAACTAGACTCCGTTGCCTGCTGGTTTGTTATAAAGTCGCTTGGGATAGTCCTGAGTCACGAAGAGGCAAATCCTTGGGAATATAGGGATTTGTATTGTAAAGCAACTTTTGCTTTTTCCCCTTGAATTAGGGGTTCCTTTTTCAAGAGTTCAAAAGCGCAGGCGCGGGCGGGTCCCGACCGCTCCCTGGCACCCTTTGTGCAGGCCACGGTCGCCCTCTGCCGACGGAGGGAGGGAGCGCGCTGAGTGGACGTTTCCGGGCGCGAGAGGCCGCCATAAACACGCTGGCCTGTAGAGGGCGCCAGCTGGTGGACAGCGTAACCCACTCGGCCGTCCCTTCCTCAAGCACTTCCGTTCCGATCTCTATTGTTTATCCGGTTTGCTCCCTAGAACTTCCTGGTGTTTTCAATTTACCGTAAACAAAAGGAATGTGCGCCGACCCGGAAATGAAAATGGGGGCAAGGCAGTAGTAGCCCCGAAAGCCGTCAGTACGGAGGAGGGGGGAAGCCGTAGCCATGGCGGTAGCTGTGGCCATGGCAGGGGCCGTAGCCGGGACGGAGATAGGCCCGGCGGAAGAACTCGCCAAACTCGAGTATCTTTCTCTAGTGTCGAAGGTTTGCACCGAGCTGGATAACCACTTGGGGATCAACGACAAGGATCTGGGTGAGCTCGGGGAGGAAGTTCCTGCGCTCTCGGGGTGGGCTTCGAGGCAAGCGGAAGGAGAAGTGGGGTGGAGGGGCTGACTGTGTTTGTCCGAATGAGTCTGTCTCTGTCACAGAGACTTGGGCCGAGGGAACCTGCGGCGGTGGCCTCCGCCTGAGAGCCCTCCAGGCCTAGCTGTCGCTGAAAGAGCGGCCATCGCTGCCTGCTTTTGTTTTCCAGCTTCTGTAACTCTAGATAATTAAACAGAGTTAACAATCACAGCAGCCGCATAATGGTGGCGATGATGATAGTAGACATTTTTCTTGCAGCAGCTGCTTGTTGAGTAACTTTAATGCAAAGTAATCAGTATACCATTGTGGGGTACCTTGGGGCGGCCTGCCCTGCGCCCCGACAGTGCCTGCCTGTGAGGGATGCCGTGCAGATCGTGGGATAATCCGTGTGAAGCACTGAGCCTATAGTACCTGCCATGTAGCACATGGTCAAAAGGTCTTGACTGTTGGCACTGTTGTTACTAACTTATGTCCATGTAGCCTGATGGCATTTGGCCTTCACTTATTGTCATCAAAAAGGTAAAGGCGAATTCCAGCATGGAAATAGTATGATCGGACTAATTTATGTTTGTTATTCATGTTGTTATTTGTTAGGGTTTAGTCTAAATGAAATCATTCAGATCTTCTTGTGAGACTTACAGCTTTTTTTTTTTTAAGATTTTATTTATCTTTAGAGAGAGCGGAAGGGAGAAAGAGGGAAACATCAACCTGTGGTTGCCTCTCACGCGCCCCATACTGGCAACCTGGCCCACAACCCAGGCATGTGCCCTGATTGGAATCGAACTGTTGACCCTTTGGTTCTCAGGCTGGCATTCAATCCACTGAGCCACACCAGCCAGGGTGAAACTTACACTTTGAATCGTATCTCAGCCTATCATAAAATTCACATCTCTCCTGAAAATCTCTTCATTAGTAAATAGCTCTAATATTAGAAGTTTCAAGAACTAGGCAGGTTTGCAGAGAAAAATTTTGGGGTCAAGTTTGTCTTCCACCAACTTGGAGATTGTACCATCCAGCAGGTGCCTAGCCCTCAGGAGTAGGGTCTAGCTCTCCAGAAACTGTAGAAAGCATCCTGCATGTGTGTCCGCACGCACACGCGCGCGCGTGTGTGTACGTACGTTGCATGGGCTTAGGCTTTTGGATATTGTTGCCTTTGGCTAGTGAGCTAGTAGTTTCATGAGAAGAGATTACCATGACTTGGGACAGTAAGGTCTTCAGCCCTTAAATTCACTCAAAGGTCTGGTGAACCATTCAGTAGTTACAGCTCTTCATTTGTAAAAACTAACTAGAACAAGAGTAACTTTTTATTTACCAGATGGGATGTTGCCTGATTGATGAATCGTTCGATAAAGCCAATTGGAGCTTTTAAAAAAATTAACTAGGACATATGTGAATAATCTGTCTTGGTAGTCTAAATTCTCTTCTTCACCTGTACTGGATGGTGGTCTTTGGCTTTTATGACTTTGGATAGCCTAATTAGTTTTGTTTATAACATGCTTGGAACTGATTTTTTTTTTTTTTGCTCAGGTCTCCATTCTTCTTGTCTTAATCCCTTTTCTCATTTGCAGCTGAATTTGTGATCAGTCTTGCCGAGAAAAACACCACCTTTGATACATTTAAGGCTTCCCTCGTGAAAAATGGTGCAGAATTCACGGTACGTCTCTCGGGAGACCCCCATTCTGTTGTAATGTCACTGCTGAATTTTACTTTTGATAGGATTTAATTAGGGTTTTGGTAGAGAAAGGAAATAATTTGTGCATACCAATCAAATGCAACATTAAGTTTGCGATGTTTTTTATTTCTGTATTTTTCAATTACAGTTTACATTCAGTGTTGCTCTGTGTCAGTTTCAGACGTACAGGGGTTTGACTGTCGAGTGTGTAATGTTTTCGTGCCTCCAAACGGTGGTGTCGCTGGATTTCCCGTGACACCCTTCCAGGGAAAGGGAGCAGGCAGGAATAACTTCCCTTCTCTAAAGGATATCCCTTTTCTTCTTGTTTTTAAGTACTGAACTAGGGGCTGACCATTTTTGTTCTGTTTCTTTTTGAAGGATTCCCTTATTAGTAACTTGCTGCGTCTCATACAAACCATGCGGCCTCCAGCAAAGCCTTCTACTAGCAAAGGTGAGCCGAGTTTCCACCTGAGCTTAGCCTCCTGAATGGTTTAGATCGCCAGCGTGCTGTTTGTAGTTTGACGTAAATCTAGTGTCGAAGTTCTTTTGTTAACCATTAAGAATGTTGTGTTTGTTTCCCTTGTAGCAGCTGCTGAACAAGTAAATGTTTGAGTAAATTTTGCAAAAAAATGTTTTTTTAAGTGTCAAACTTAAAATAGAATTATAAGATGTAATCAGCCAAATGAATATCGGTGCACCTACCTGTGCTTGCATAGGTTGTTGAGGATTTTGTAATCAGTGCTTTTTTAGAGAGTTAAAGTATGTTTATAGTAGTACGTACGAGAAAATGAGTAGTGTGTAGAAAAGTTCCATGCTCTGGTTTTAGTTTGATGCAAATATAATGTCAAAGTTCATTTGCTAGTCGCTAAGAATGTTAAATATATATATTTTTTTCTCATTCCTTCATGCTCTTGAATGAAACAAGATCCGGTTGTTAAACCCAAAACTGAGAAAGAAAAGTTGAAGGAACTCTTCCCCGTCCTCTGCCAGCCAGACAACCCCTCTGTTCGGGTACGATGCCCCTTTGGGAGTGTCTGTTACAACTGCACGTTCCCCTCGCCCTTCTCTCAGTCTCATTAGTTACTAGTTTTTTTCTTTTATTAGTTATTAATTTTAGGTTTACCTTTATTGTAACATATTTCTCAAGGCGAAAGTGTGTGGTCACTCTGAGTGCATACGTGTAGGGCAGTGTCGGAGGGTTCAGGGAGTGATGTTTGGGGGAAACGAGGTTAGAATTTGTGGGAAGCAGTGACTGGGGACATGAAATAGGTGTGAAATAAGTTAAGATTCTGGAACAGATACCCAATGTGCGAAGTTAGATATTTTTGCTCCATTTCTTGTTGGAAGTCCGATTTTGGAAATGCTTTGGTTTTTAAATTCCATTTTAGCAAGTACTAATTGGGTATCTGCTATGAGCCAAGCACTGTTCTAAGTACCAGGAATACAGCACTGAAGAAAATAGATTAGAGTTTCTGCCCTCTTGGAGATTATTACGTTCTAGTACTGAGGCGGAGATAGGCAATAAACACAGAAGCTCTAGTAGAGAAGAGACAGTCAATAAACAAATAAGTAAGTATAGAATGTAGCTGATACCAATAAGAACTATGAAAACAATTAAGCAGGGGAAAAGGGAGAAGGAAGTGTGGAGAAAGTTGTTTTTTTTTTTTTTTTAAATATTGTACTTGGTTTTAGAGAGGTGATGGAGGGGAGAAGGAGAGGGAGAGAAATATTGATCAAGTTGCCTCTTGCATGCACCCAGACTGGGAAATGAACCTGCAACTCGGGCACGTGCCCTGACTGGGAATTGAACCACTGACCTTGCGCTTTGCGGGAGGGGAGGCCCAACCAACTGAGACACACTGGCCACAGCGGGAGAGTTGTTTTTTAAAAAATTTTAGCGCCTATATTCTGTTTATAATCATCACCTGCACGCTTTCACAGAAGGGGTGACGTCTGATTTCCTTCCTTCACCTTGCATGAAGGACAGAGGGGATCTGCCGGATGTAGAAATGACTTCCAGGAGCCTTTGTGCATCCCTCTGCCTCTGTCTCAGGCGGTGTTGGGAATCTCCACCCCCTTCTGCTTCCTTCACACAAGTGGGCAGCGATGTGGGGCTGTCAGATTTGTGGCGCCTGAAGTACAGACTCTTTTTTTTTTATTTTTATGAGCGTGCATTTGAAGCAATCTGAGGACAGTGCGGGGAAGTGAGATCCCAGATGCCCCCGAAGCACAGACTCTTGAGTGATGTTTTTGCCCCGTTCTCCTGACTTGGCTGCCTCCCGCCCCTGCAGACCATGCTGGACGAGGACGACGTGAAAGTCGCCGTGAACGTCCTGAAGGCGCTGGAGGCCCTGATGCCCAGTGCAGCCGGCCCGGAGAAGCCGCGGGATGCCGAGCACCGGTTCGTCCTCGCCATCCTGTCCTTTGGGGGTTTGGCGTACTCCCATAGTTGAACTTTGTGGGCCAGCCAAGCACAATTTCAGACTAGTTCACAGAATCCGGACTGGCCATTACCATATTGTTGGATCTCTTTTTTGCTCCCTGTCAAGAGTATTTATGCAGCAAACGCTAAGATGTTCAGAAGGTAGAAGTTTGGGCTCAGTGAGGCTAAATATGTTCATGGCCTCATTCTTTTTTTTTTTTTTTTTAAGATTTTATTTATTGTTAGAGAGGGAAGGGAAGGAGATAGAGAGAGAAACATCAATGTGCGGTTGCTGGGGGTCATGGCCTGCAACCCAGGCATGTACCCTGACTGGGAATAGAACCTGTGACACTTTGGTTGGCAGCCCGCGCTCAATCCACTGAGCTACACCAGCCAGGGCTATATGGCCTCATTCTTTATTGACCTGCAGGATGTCCTAGTTACTGAAACTCTGAATCAGTGTTAAGTCTTAGAAGGCACTTAACCATACTCACGGCACTGTGCTGGGTGCTTGGGGACGCAAAGATGAAATTCGGTGGGTTTCTTTTTTAAACAGGCGTTTCTTGATTTATTAGGGACAAGACAAAGAGGAAGAAGCGGAGTCGCAGTCGAGACCGAGAGCGTGACCGAGAGCGTGACCGTGACCGTGACCGTGACCGAGATCGAGACCGTGATAGAGACCACAAGCGGCGGCACCGGTCCCGCTCTCGGTCACGTTCCAGGACCCGGGAGAGGAACAAAGGGAAGTCTAGGTATCGGTCCAGGAGCAGAAGCCAGAGTCCCCTCAAAGACCGGAAGGACCGAGACAAGTATGGAGAGAGGACCCTGGACAGATGGCGGGACAAGCATGTGGACCGCCCTCCCCCGGAAGAGCCCGCCATCGGGGACATTTACAACGGCAAAGTCACCAGCATCATGCAGTTCGGATGCTTTGTGCAGCTGGAGGGTCTGAGGTAATGGCCGGGGCTGTTCTCCCCACCGGTGACGGGCACCCCTTATCACCGGGGATTTCCACGCTCCAGAACGTTACTGTGGTTAATGACGCTTTAATCACATTGGCCATATCAGGTTATTAGAAACTGACTTCACATATGAAGTATCATAGAGCCATGTATTCTTTCCTCTACCTTCAGGACATCTGCTCTTTTGAGACAGATGGGAATTTGTGGCCATCCCATACCTCCCCCCACCCCCATGTCTTTGGGAAGGGGGGTGGTGATAATATAATGCTTCTCTATTGTTTGGCCACCTCCTTGATACTCTTCTTTTTTAGTTAAGACCATTCCCGTTTGTTCAGGCCCGACCAGGGTGGAGGTCGGTTGGGGGAAAGGTGTTCTGGGCGTGCCCCAAACGTGTCTGCCCTCCCCCAGGAAACGCTGGGAAGGCCTGGTGCACATCTCGGAGCTCCGGCGGGAGGGCCGTGTGGCCAATGTGGCCGACGTGGTGAGCAAAGGCCAGAGAGTCAAGGTCAAAGTGTTGTCCTTCACTGGGACCAAGACCAGCCTGAGCATGAAGGTAGGTGAGGTGTGCAGCCTGGTACCGCATCCGATGGCCTGGGAAACTATATAGAGACAGCAGGTGAGCTGGCTTCGCTGTTTCTGTGCCCTAGGATGTGGACCAAGAGACCGGAGAAGATCTAAACCCAAATCGACGACGAAACCTCGTTGGGGAGACCAATGAGGAGACCTCAATGAGGAATCCGGACAGACCCACTCACCTCTCCCTCGTCAGCGCCCCCGAAGTGGAGGACGACTCCCTGGAGCGCAAGCGCCTCACCCGCATCTCCGACCCGGAGAAGTGGGAGATCAAACAGGTGGGCCCCTTGCTCTCCTGGCCACAGAGCCACGCAGCGCGCGGCACGGTGGCTGAGACAGTGGGCCCTGGGGCCCGATGGCTGGGTGAATCCCGGGCCCTTACTAGCTGTGTGGTTCTGAGCTACGTTACTGCACATCTTTGAGCCTCGGTGCGCTTGCCTGCAAAATCAGCCTTGTGGGGATTAAATGAGTTGACAGAAGTAAAGCTCTTAGGTTAGTGCCTGCATATGGTCACGCTATGTAAATTTTTGTTCCTGTTTTCATCACGCATCAGTAAACCTCCGAATCACAGTGTACTGTGTAGGTACTAGGGCTACAAAGACCGAAGTATCACGGTCCCTGCCTCTGGTGGAGACAAATTGAAACAAACAGTTGTTAAAGCTCACATAGTACATAGTGAGGCATGCGCAGAATGCTGTGGAACCAGGGGAAGGAGCGGAGTTAGCGGATAACCCCTCCTGGGGAAGGGGAACTCGAGCCACGGGCAGCGCGTTGTCCTGCCCCCAGGGGTGGGGGTTTTGATGTTGGGGCTCTGCAGCACTCCGCCACAGGAGGAAAAAACCTTGCTTCCTACACGGAACCTCTGTGTTGACTCTCCTACTGAACAAGTGTTTTGTTTCTAGCAAGTCACAAACAATGCTCTCTGTCCTTTGACTAGATGATTGCGGCCAATGTGCTTTCCAAAGAAGAGTTCCCAGACTTCGATGAGGAGACCGGCATCCTTCCGAAGGTGGACGACGAAGAAGGTAGGTGACCGGCCCTTGGGCGTGGGCGGGCTGATGGGTCGGGAAGACCGTTGGCAAGTTGGGCCATTGGATGAGGTGCTCTGTTTGTGGTTCAGTCCAGTGGTTCTGCGTCACTCACTCCTTGGGCCTCACCTCTCATCTCTCAGAGGACAAGGGTGGTTTCCGTGATGGAAACAAAGAAGCTCACTTTTGTGGCAAACATTTGTGTATAGTTTTGCTGGTTGCTTATACGTTTTCAGGATATAAAAAGTTATATTTTGGGGACTAAATTTGATCTCCTGTCTCTTAGTAATTGTTCTGAAAGTCCCGGATCCACCTTGATTACCTCTTAGTTGCCCTGGAAACAGCTTCTATTTTTTTATTTTTTAAATTTATTTATTTTTTTGTATTGTTTCCATTACCATTTATCCCCCGCCATACCCTCTTTCATCTCCACCCACCCCCCGACCTAGAAACAACTTTTAACTCGGTCCATTACCAATTTTTAAAAATTGTGAAACGAATTCTGTAACGGAACACGTATAATTTATATAACGAACACCTGAAGGAGCGTCCGCACACCCGCCGGGAAGTGGAGCTCCCCAGCGCCTGCAGCCCCTCCGGGCCCCGGATTCGGTCCCTCTCCTTGCCCCTCTGTGTCGGCATCGTCCTGAGTGCCGTGTTAGTCACCGCCTCACTTTGCTTTGGTGGTTCACCCTCTACGTGTTTGTCCCTACACAGTAGTCTGTTTTTGAACTTGATTTTCTTGACTCGTTATCATTTTTTTGATATTTATCCGTGTTGGTTTTATAGTTGTATTTCTTTTGTTTTCATTGCTGTAGAGTGTGACTCTATATAAATTTACCATTATTAATCTATTTTTGATGGGTATCTGGGCTGTGTCTGGTTTTTTTGTTTACCTTTATGAATAATACTATTACAGAGTTCCTCTATTTGTCTCTTACGGCACATGTGCAGGACTTTCTCCTTTTCCTCAGTGTGTAGAAGAATCGCTGGGTGGCAGGAAATGTGGGCATTCAGCTGTACCAGGCAGTCCAAAATGTTCTCTAAAGCCTTTGTGCCAATTTACTTTTCTACTGTGTGAGTGGCTTCCTGTTGCTCCACGTTCTTGCCAGCAGTTGGCATAATCCCACTGTCCAACTTAATTTTTTCTTTGCCGCTGTATTGTGGGTTAAGTGTAAACTCTGTTATTGTTATTACTGATTGATTTTGGAGAGAGAGAGGGAGAGAGACAGAAACACTGAGGTGTTGTTCCGTTTACTTACACATTCATTGGTTGATTCCTGTGTGTGCCCTGACCCGGGACTGAACCTGCAAGCTTGGCGTGTCGGGGCGACACTCTAACCAGCTGAGCCTACCTGGCCAGGGCAGGAGTAAACTCCATAGTGAGGTCGGATGGCAAGTGCCTTCGTGCCATGTGGAGTGTGAGAACGGCGTTTTCCACAGGCTTGCCTTGTTTTGAAAGTAGCTCTGATTAGTTCTTGGGCTGGAGGGTGGGGGGGACAGACGCCTGGGTTATGGTTTCATGTGCATTGCTGTGCTTTTGACCTTGGGAGCCAACGTCGACAAAGATTGCTGGTGCTTGTGGAGATTAACTATTCTGATGAAAGTAATCGGTCCCTTTCTTTTGTTTTTGGCTAACTCTTTTTTGGGGACTTTTAGATGAGGACCTTGAGATCGAGCTGGTCGAGGAAGAGCCCCCGTTCCTGAGGGGGCACACCAAGCAAAGCATGGACATGAGCCCTATCAAAATCGTTAAGGTGAGACACGCCGGGGCTCTAGCCTGGAGTTGTCACGGGAACTGTTTTCTTCGTGTGACGGTTCTGTCTTCCAGAGCAGGCTATTGGACCAGTGTGAGTGGGATTCAGGCCCCAGGAGGCAGCGTTGACTGTTGATCAGGGCCTGGAATGTTTTTGTTTTCAGGAGACACTGACTTTGTTGTTTTTGGCTTTTTAATTATTTTGCTCTCATTTTAGTGTTTTTTGGGAGGAAGCAGTGATAAATGAGTGCTCGATCCCCCATCATGGCTTTCGCCCCAGCCTCAGGGCTTGAACCATCACCCTGCGTGTTCAGGGGCGGTTGGGCAGGGGTCACATGACCAGTTGTTGCCGGCCCCTGAGAGAGCCGTGGCACTGGGTGTTGTGGGGGGCGGAGCTGGGAGAGATGATGGGATTTTAGGTTCGGAAAAGGGGTACCTTAAAGGTGCCCCAGCCCAGCCACCCATTCAGTTCTCACATTCACCCACGTGTCCCTCTGCAGTGTTCCTCCACGTGGTCTCCTGCCTGCCATGGCTGGCAGCAGGGAGTTCACCAGCCCTCAGGGAGACTCGTTCCATCTTCAGGTGGATCCGACCATTGGTTCCTCAGGCGGAACTGAGATCTGTCCTGCTGAATCGTTCCTCTGGTCTTCTTTAGTTCTCAGTCCACGCAGAAGGGTTTTACCCCTTCCCTATACGTCCTGTCTCTCTTGGGGTTCTCCTCTTTAAGCCAACCACCTCGATTCCTTTAGTGATTTATCATTGTCTTCATTCATGTTCTCTGAATTCGCTACAATTTCTTTCTTTCATGTAGTCTGGTAGGTCAGTATGAACTTTTTTGTAGATGGGTCTCATTCTTTAGATTCAGATGGTGTAGCGTCCGCATTTTATTCCTGGACTTTTACCGTGTTCTGAGCTCCGTTCTGACCCTGCTGCCCTGCCCTCTGTGCCCTAGAACCCAGACGGCTCCCTCTCCCAGGCGGCCATGATGCAGAGCGCCCTGGCCAAAGAAAGACGGGAGCTCAAGCAGGCCCAGCGGGAGGCCGAGATGGACTCTATTCCCATGGGACTCAACAAACATTGGGTCGATCCTCTGCCTGATGGTAGGACCCTGGGGGCATGGGGACTTAGAAAAAATCAAATCAACGACATTTCGGTTTGCAGGCCGGCCCTCAATCCACTGATCCACACCCTCCAGGGCTATTTTTAAAACATGTTTAAAGTAAAAAATGTTTTAGTAACCCTGGTCAAATGATTAGACAGGCTGAGTTTTTCTCCTAAGTAACTTAAAAGTCATACAGCTTTGAAACTTCCCTTTTCATAGAATTCTTTGTACAGTAAATATTAACTCCTGGCAGTTATAGTCATAACAAGCATTTTATTAGTTTATGTTAGGCCACTGGGGATACAGCTGTGAATTAGACACCATCCTTGCATTTATGAGACTTACAGTTTAGAGGAGATGATTATATTTGTCAAATAATTACCAAATTACTAAGTCATGAGCAGTGCCGTATGAGGAAACACAGGGAATGTGGCTGCGGTGGGCCAGGTCCCCGGGAAAGCCGAGAACCGGAGACACAGGACTTGGTCTGTTAGAGGGGCCGGGGCAGGGGTTGGGGAGCGTGTTCTCATCTGGGCTGAGGAGGAGTCTGGGCTGGGGCCGGGAGCGGGGAGAGACCACCTGTGTGGCTGCAGTACAGAGAGAGAGGGGTGGGGGGCTGAGGGGTGGGAGGACTTTGTAGGTGGTATTAGGAATTAGGGCTCAATTCCGAAGTTCACTGGGGAACGTTGCAAAGTTCTAAGCAGGGGTGTGGCATGACCAGAGTTGCATTTCCCAAGGATTTTGAGGGTGCACTGTAGAATGGGTTGGAGGTGGCACGTGAGAGAATTAGGAGGCTTTTATCATATTAGTTCAGAGGGGAGAGGATGGTAGCTTGAACCCCGAGCTAACAAGGAGGAGTGTGCTGGAGAAATCCGATTGGTTGGATGTGGAGGAGGGGACGGCAGGGTAGCCTGAGGGCGATACCAAGTTGCTTGTTGCTCTGCAGCGGAAGGCAGGCAGATCGCGGCCAACATGAGGGGCATTGGGATGATGCCCAATGACATTCCCGAGTGGAAGAAGCATGCCTTTGGGGGCAACAAAGCTTCCTATGGAAAGAAGACCCAGATGTCAATCATTGAGCAGAGAGAGAGCCTGCCCATCTACAAACTGAAGGAGCAGTTGGTCCAGGTAAGAAGCCCCGTGTGGTGGGGGGGTCATGGATTTCCTAGAGAAGAGAAGGTAACATATTTTAATTGGAATCCGCTGGACAGGTATGTGTACATTTAAAGTGGTTTTTCCAAAGGGGATAGGGGAAAGAAACCAGAACGTTTCCAAGTACTTTTTAAAAAATGTATATTAGTGTACATTATTCCTATGAGGAAATAAACCTGCTTGAACTGGGGGGCCCTAGAGCAGTTCTGGGTGGACAGTGTCGTGCTGTCCCCTGTACTAGTGGACATGGGGGCCAAGGGCAGCCCTTTGCTGTTACAAACTGTGTAAAAATGAGATGACAGTTGCGGGGAAGGTGCTGGAGATTTGGGACTGACAGTAAAAAGAAATCCTGTGTATCCCTTTTTATTTAGTCCTGTATATGTATTTTATTTATTCTTTTAACTATGTGCATGTAGTACTTAGAAAATTGTATGTGTATATTAGGGAGGTCTGGGTGGTAATTTATGCTTTTAGCATCCTCTTGTTTTTAGGAATTCAAGAAAACCAATGAATTAAAAAAAATAAGTCTGAGTCAGTTGAAAACAGAGAACCATAAAGTTTAACATTTTAAATTTAAGTTATATGTGCAATTAAAATAAAGAGCATTGCCCATAGGAAAATCATTGCTATTTTTTTCAGTGCAAGATCAAAAGTAATTTAAACCCTGGTGGTAATCTTACCACTTGCGGACTGTCGTGTCCCCTTTTTCCCCTGTAGTGTCAGGACATAAGCGTTAATGACTTCATCCAGAGTAGCGCGCGGCAGGTTTGAATCACCATGTCCGTACTCTGTTGCCCTCAGGCCGTCCATGACAACCAGATCCTGATTGTCATCGGAGAGACGGGCTCCGGGAAGACCACGCAGATCACCCAGTACCTGGCGGAGGCGGGCTACACGTCCCGGGGCAAGATCGGGTGCACCCAGCCCCGCAGAGTGGCGGCCATGTCAGTGGCCAAGAGAGTGTCAGAGGAGTTTGGTTGTTGCCTAGGCCAGGAGGTGAGTGGGAAGCGGAGCTGCTCTCTAAGTGCCTGAAGAAAAGGTCAAGGACAGGCTTCTGTCTGCAACATGCTGATAATGGGACCTGTTTCTCCCCTGAGGGGGAGAGGGTTCTCGTTGTCACCCCTGATCTGTTTGGGATCCAGTCCACAGCTGACGTCACCGTGAGGAAATCACTGTACATCTTGGTTAAATCCTTGTCTGTTAAGGTTACGGGTCACGGTCTGACTGGGCTGAAGTCTTGTCTGGTGACTGCGCAGGTGAGGGGTTTGTGTCCGAGGTTCCGCCTTCTGTTCCGCCTCAGGTGGGCTACACCATCCGGTTTGAGGACTGCACCAGCCCCGAGACCGTCATCAAGTACATGACGGACGGCATGCTGCTGCGAGAGTGCCTGATCGACCCCGACCTCACGCAGTACGCGATCATCATGCTGGACGAGGCGCACGAGAGGACGATCCACACCGACGTGCTCTTCGGGTTGCTGAAGAAGGTGACTGGGTGCTCCGGTGGCCCTCCGCGCCCTTGGGAGCTGGGTTCCGGGGCGTGGGCCTGTGCCCCCTTGGGTGGTCCTTGTTAGCAAGCCGCCGCGTTCCTCCCTCAGACGGTTCAGAAGCGGCAGGACATGAAGCTGATCGTCACCTCAGCCACCTTGGACGCAGTGAAGTTTTCCCAGTACTTCTATGAAGCTCCCATCTTCACCATCCCCGGTCGAACATACCCCGTGGAAATACTGTACACGAAGGAGCCCGAGACGGATTATCTGGACGCCAGCTTGATCACGGTCATGCAGATCCATTTAACAGAGCCGCCAGGTAGGGGGCGAGAGCGTGGTCTCCTCCTAGGTCCAAGTCCCAGTGTGGGTATCCTTTTCACTCGGCTTCTTAAACGTGCCTTTAAATAGTGTGTCAGGCTTGCACGCGTGAAACGATGGTGGTGAAAATGCACATAATGGTGTGCAGGGTTTAAATGCACCTATTTAAACATAGACACGAGTGATAAATGAATGGAATAGACATGACAGATGAAAACCTCTGGGTTCATTAGAGGTCGGCATCTGAGTGTACTTTCTGTCATTTGGAGCCTGTTAATGTCACTATGGCCTTTGGATAGAACACACACACACACCCACACACACCCACGAAGTACATCGACGCCCCTGTTCTCTTCTCAGGCGACATCCTCGTCTTCCTGACTGGCCAGGAAGAGATCGACACAGCCTGCGAGATCCTGTATGAGAGAATGAAGTCCCTGGGGCCTGATGTTCCCGAGCTGATTATCCTCCCGGTGTATTCTGCTCTTCCCAGCGAGATGCAGACCCGGATCTTCGACCCGGCCCCACCCGGCAGCAGAAAGGTACCCTGGGCAGAACTGAAGCCCCCTGTGTTTTGAGACCATGCAGTGCGTGCAGCTGGCCCTAACGGGGATGGCTTAGGCGTGCGTGAGTCTTGTTTATTATGTTCTGGAGACTGGTCCGGCCACTGTGTTGAGGAGTGAGGGTTTCGTATGTGACCGCTGCTCCTCTCCTCCCTTCCTTGAGGCGACAGATGTTTTTGAGCGTCATCCAGGCTTTGGAGTAGACTCCAGGGCGGCAGTCTGAGGACCGGCCTCCCTCTGCCTCGAGGCATCCCCAGCGGACAGGCGTGTGATGTGCAGTGTGCAAGTGCGCGGTGGTGCGCTGGCTACCCAGAGGGCAAGCCCCCAACCCAGTCCTCTCAGAGCGAGTGAGGATCCAAGCTAGTCCTGAAGGACGTGTGGTGTTCGTGTAAGCCAGCAGGGCAGGGGCGCGCGTGTTCTGAGTGGACAGAATAGCCTGCGATGGCCGAGAGGTGAGAGGCGGGGGCCGTTTCAGGGACCTGTGCGGCTCCAGGAGCTGGAACTGGCGGCGTGGATATGGCAGGCGATGGGAAAGGAGACAGGTGGGGTTTTTTTAAGTTACAGCTTTACTGAGATATAATTTACATACCACACAATTTACTCCTTTAAAGTATACGATTTAGTGTATTCACGGACTTGTGCCATCATTGATTACCATTATTATTATTAATTAATGATTAACCATTAATCACTACAACTTCAGAACAATTTCATCACCCCGAAAGAAACCCTGTACCCTTCGGCCATCGCTCCCCATTCACCCCTCTGCTCAGCCTCTGGAAACCACCAGTCAACTTTCTGTCTCTCGATTTGCCTCTTCTGAACGTTTCACATAAGTGGGATCATATACATGGGATCCCTGGTAACTAACTTCTCTGACATAGCATGTTTCCCAGGTTCATCCATGTTGTAGCACGTATAAGTACTTCATTTCTTTTTGCTGTCAAATACTGTTCTATTGCAGAATGTGGGTGTACCACATTTTGTCTCTCCATTCATCAGCTGACGGACGTTTGGGTTGTTTCCACGTTTTGGCTGTTATGAATAATGCCGCTGTGGACACTATTTACAAGTGTGTGTGTACCTGTGTTTTCCTTTCCCCGGGCACGGAAGACAGATGGGTCTGAGTAACACTGCAGAGTTAGAGTGGACGGGCGCAGCGGATGTCTGCAGGTGCAGGGGAGGAGGGCAGGAGGGAAGGCAGGCGTGACTCCCAGGTGTCTGGCTCGGGCAGCCGGATGCGAGACGGTGCTGAGGAGGGAGACACGGAGGAGGAGCAGGTCTGGGGGAGGAAGATGGTGATTCCTCTCTGTTCTGTTTCTGATTGACTTCTTTTTGAGAGGGCTTCTGTCGCTCTGCGGCAGGTGGAAGCCCCCCCGGGCCGGGAAGGTGCTGGCACGATGCGAGATGTTCTGGCGTCTCCTAGCAATGCTTTTTCCGAGCAATTGTGTTTTATTAGCTGAACCTCTGGGTGGAAGAGCAGTGGCAGTGCCAAGCTGAGACCAATAATCTTCTAGATCGCACATACTGCCGCACACACACAAACCGTGAAATTCCTCTGCTGCCTCGTGGTTCCTTTTATGATTAGGGAAAAAAAAACAACTCCCTCTTGTTCCACACACACAAACAGCCCATTTTGTAGTCCAGATGTCCCCGTGGGGGAAGAAAAATCTCATTTTGCACTGGCACATGTGATGCCAGGAAGTCCCTGCTTTCCCAGGGTGCTAGAAAATTAAAATTGTAGTAATCAACATTGGATCTAGAAAATGAGGTATGTAGCCATTTGCACCAAATGAAATTGGCTTTGATTGGCCTTTGCTTTTTTCTATTCCACTTTCTCCTCTTAGGTGCGATCCCTTCCCATCCCGCCCCCCTCAAGCTGACCCTTAAGAGGAAGGCACCTCCCCTTCTGCCCATTCGAAGCCAAACCGAGATTGAGTGCTGTCTCGTCCTCTGAAGGAGGAGATAACTAACTGCACGCTCCTTTGGGAAGGTGTTCCAGTTCAGAAGTCCCGTTTCCCACCTCAGGGCTGAACCTGGTTGGCTCAGTCCAGCTGTGTCCCTCGCACCTGCAGGTTGTGATTGCCACCAACATTGCAGAGACGTCGCTGACTATCGATGGCATCTACTACGTGGTGGACCCTGGCTTCGTGAAGCAGAAAGTGTACAATTCCAAGACAGGGATCGACCAGCTCGTGGTGACCCCCATTTCTCAGGTGCGGCAGTTTCTGCTCCCAGCTTTCCTGGGAGTCCTGGTCTGGGCCTTTCGGAAAACCTTTACGGTTTTGTGTTTTGAACTTTGTTGTTTTCAGAGGTGAACTTTTAAGGTACTGGGTGCTTTCATGAGATAAGGAAGATTATTATTATTTTTTAATCTTTAGAATAGTGTTTCAACATTAAAAAACCCCATGAAATTTGAACTTGAAAAAGAGTTTGAATCCTGGCACCATAGATTATCTAACATAGATAGTAAGAACATTAAAAAAAAAAGATTGTATTTATTTATTTATTTTTAGAGAGAGGAGAAGGGAGGGAGAAAGAGAGGGAAACATCAATGTGTGGTTGCCCCTTGAGCACCCCATACAGGGGACCTGGAACCCAACCCAGCCATGTGCTCTGACTTGGAATCGAACTTGCGACCCTTTGGTTCACAGGCTGAATACTCAGTCCACTGAACCATATCAGCCAGGGCAGTAAGAACATATTTTTTAAGCACTGTACTTAGCCAGGGATATTTGAGGTAGTCACAATTCATGAGACAATAATGCGGTTCTTTGGTAGTTATGGAATAATTTTCTGCCTAAATTATATTTACAAATGAATAACCTGATTATCCTTTTTTGAGGGCAGTTTGGCCACAATGTATCAAAAATCTAAAAGATGATCTCCTTAACCTAACAGTTCCAATACATCTGAAAGTTAGAAATGGTTGAATACATATCTAAAGGTGATGTAAAAGAATGTCCACTGAAGCACTGTTTATATTAGAAGAAACCTGGAAAAATTCCCTCGAAAGGGAAGTAGTTTAATAAAACATGGTATATCCTTGCCATGCAGTGTAGTGTGGCGTTAACATGGCGGTGTGTATCTATATTTAATGACACAAACCGTGATATATTTTTTGGAGTTACAGAATAGCAGGCACAGTGTGACCTGCTTCTTGTTTAAAAGTGGGTGGTGTGCACTTGTGCACAGGGCACGTGCACCCGCCTGAGACTGGGAAGCATGTGGTCAGAACGCCAGTTGGTGTTATTTCTTGGTGGTGCTGCTGGTTACTGTGCGGATGGCTGAAGTGCATTTGTTTTCTTTATACTTTTATATATTGTTTAGTATTATTTATAGTACTCAAAGTATTATAAGAGGCATGGATTACTTTCATAATTTATAAAAACCATCACACCCTGGCTGGTGTAGCTCAGTGAATTGCGTGCAGGCCTGGGAACCAAAAGGTTGCTGGTCTGATTCCCAGTCGGCACATGCCTGGGTTGCAGGCCAGGTTCCCAGTAGGGGGCGTGCAAGAGGCAACCACACATTAGTGTTTCTCTCCCTCTCTTTCTCCTTTCCTTCCCCTCTCTCCAAAAATGAAGTAAAAAAAAATTAGGCTATTTTCATTTTGAAATGTAAGTAATAGTAGCTGACATTTGCTGGGTGCCTAAGTGCTAACGCACTTATTATAGGCACTGTCCTAGGTACGTTCACTTACGTGCACTCCTTGAGTTCAGAAGTCCTGTTTCCTGCCCCAGGGCTGCACCTGGTTAGCGTGATCCAGCTGCGCCCCTCTCGTCTGCAGGTCGTGTTGCTCCTGTATGGTAGATTTTATGATCGTCCTCATTGCCCAGGTGAGACTGAGGCACGGAGGGGCTAAGGGTACACAGCTGTGGAGTCAGGGTTTGAATCCGGGCAGGCCGGCCCCAGTGTGTGTGCTCTGCACCACTTCTCGGGTGGTGCGGGCCACTCACGGGGATGGGGGAATTAGCCCCTCTCGCCCTTTCTGATTTGGAGAGACGTCTGTGGGATGCTGTGGCGTCTGCCACCGTGTGTGATTGCTGCCCGCCTTTGTGCGGTAGTGACCTTTCACACTACGTCCTTTGTTTGGAGCTGGCAGAAGAATGTAAATCCTAATACTGTTTGTAAGACAGATGGTGTTGTCAAAAAATGGCTCTCTTCAGTTTGCTATTCAGCGTTTCCTAGCAACCTATGGCTAAGCTACAAATATAATTTTTAAAATTTGATTTAGTTATTTATTTTTAAAAGTTATTTTAAAAAATTTTTATTTATTTTCAGAGAGAGGGGAAAGGGAGGGAGAAAGAGAGGGAGAGAAACATCGATGTGTGGTTGCCTCTCAAGTGCCCCCTACAGGGAACCTGGCCTGCCACCCAGGCTTGTGCCCTGATTGGGAATTGAACCGACGACCCTTTGGTTTGCAGGCCCACACTAAATCCACTGAGCCACACCAGCCAGGGCTATATCATAATGATTTTTTTACAAAATCAATATTATATTGTCTTATAACTTGCTTTTTCACCTATGCGAGTGAACATTTCCTTCTGGTGCTGAGCGCCTCAAACCTGATTTTTAAAACGGCTGCAGTCATCACTGGCACACGATGATGACTGTTTTATTTCGTTCCCGTAAATGTTTGGCTGTAACCGTAGGAATAGCATTTTGTCATCTTGTTTTATGCTTTGTCTTTCACATCATGCCACTCTTATTTTGAGGGCGTATTTCTGTGATCTTCATGATATTTCTTTGTTTTCCTTCTGCATTTGTTTCACTTGAACAAACTCTCCTGGAATGTTGAGTGTTGGAGAGGGAATGGTAATAACCTTGGTAGTCTTGGAAATGGTCCTGAAGGAAGTGAAATAAACCCTATTTCGGGTTTTGCCCGCAGTTAAGTGCCCCTCTTCTAACGGATTTCCTGGGTAAGGCCGTTAGACGGTGGTTAACAGACACGCTCCTTTTATGTGCACCCCCGTAGGCTCAGGCGAAGCAGCGAGCCGGCAGAGCCGGGAGAACGGGCCCGGGGAAGTGTTACCGGCTGTACACAGAACGTGCCTACCGAGACGAGATGCTGACCACCAACGTGCCCGAGATCCAGAGAACCAACCTGGCGAGCACGGTGCTCTCGCTCAAGGTAGAGACCGCTGTCTTCCTGGGATGGGTGGGCGGGGCAGTCCAGTCCCGGGCCTGAGTGGCCTGAGTGAATGAACCTCAGTATTGTGTATGACCCTTGCTCAGTGCTTGAGTGGCCCCGTAGAACCCGGCCCTCGGCGTGAAGTGCAGACGGCTGCGGTCTGGGGCCGAGTCGCATGTCTGCTGCGAGCGCACATGTTTCCTTCCTTACCGCAGTAACCGGCAGAGTGTGTGATCGTGAAAGATTTCGTTAGGAGCGTTTTCTGAAAGGATGCTAGAAAAATCGAATCAGTGCCAAACTGCGGACACACTTCCTTCATCCCTTTGGCTGTCAGATCCGGTTCTGTTCTTTTAGAACGGAAGCAACACTCCCAGCCCACAAACGGTGTCAGCAGAGGTTTCAGACTGGCCCTCTGGGGTCCTGGTTTTCATTCTGAATCACTGCTCTTCCTCTCTCAGTCCCCAGCGAGGACCTTCATTCTCCTTTGGCAGGGGGAGCCGCAGGAGTAATTTTCCAGATGATGGCACACCCCCCTCCCTCCCCGCCCCGCCACTGATGCGCCCCTGGAGCCCGGGCACGTTGCTGGTGCAGCCTGCTCTGCTGTAATTCATTATTCATTCCCTGGGAGGGAGGCCAGAGCAGAGCTCCAGAAGGGAACTCGCTCCCCTCTCTGGAGTGAGGGCAGTGCTCTCAGCTGCGTGTCCTTGGCAGACTCACCTGCTCGGCCCTCTGTTCTGTGTTCTCTCCGGAGGGCTGTTGTTGGTTATCTGTTGCGGAGATAGATGAGATAGCGCAGGTGAAGACACTTGGCACAGGGCTTACTGATTGCGCTCATTCCTTACAGTTATTACTCACACAATGAGCGTTTATTGGACACCTGCTGTGTTTACGGTCACGAGCAGTTTATGGGAGAGACACAGAAAGCTTAGGTCCTACCGCATCATCCTGTGTATACACTTGGATAATGCAACATTCATTTGTTTCTTTTTCTTTTTTTCATCAAATTAGCTAACAAATGTATTGATTGCTTACTTCGTACCAGGCATGCAGATTCCCCTGCATTGTCGTGGTTTTGTTTCTGAGTGTCTCACCATTATGAATGCTCTGAGAGCAGGGACCGTATCTTTGTGATGCTCGTATCCCTGCCGCTGAACATGGTACGTGGGTGGCACTTCCTAGATGCACCGTAGAAATCATGCGTGCTAGGGATAGGGCAAGCTGGTGCATCGTCTTACTTTTTTACATTATGGTAAAATGCACAACACATTGCCATGACTGCCTTTTTGAAATGTTAGTTTGGTGGTGGTAAGGTCATTCTGTGCTGTGCAGCCGTCACCGTTCTGCATTTCCAGAACTTGTCCATCATCCTGAACACAGAGTCTGTACCCATGAAACTAAACGGTCCCCTTCTCCCTCCCTCTAGCCCCTGGTAGTCATCATTTTGCTTTCTGTCTCTGTGAATTTGCCTCATATGAGTGGGGTCAGACAACGTTTGTCCTTTTATATCTGGCTTGTTTAACTTAGCATGATGTTTTCAGGGTTCGTCATGTTGTAGCATCGTGTTAGAATTTCATTATTTTTTAAAAGTGAGTAATGCTCTGTTGTATGTGCATACCATATTTTGTCTACCCATTCATCCATTGATGGATATTTGGGTGGTTTTTACCTTTTGTCCATTGTGAATAATGCCACTGCGAGCACTAGTGTACAAGTGTCTGCTTGAGACCCTGCTTGCAGTTCTTTTGGGTGTGTACGCCCGGAAGTGGGATTGCTGGATAATAGTGGTGATTCTGTGTTTAACTTACAGAGGTATCACCGAATTGTTTTCCATGTTGGCTGCAGTATTTTACATTCCCACCAGCAATATATGAGGATTCCCATTTCTCTGAATCCTTGACAACACGTCTTTTTAAATAACCATCCTAGTGGTGTGGAGTGGTGTCTCATTTGTGGTTTTCATTTGCATTTCCCTGATTACTAGTTGCGTCGAGTATCTCTTCATGTGCTTCTTGGCTATTTTTATATCTTTGTATGTGTATTGATGTCCTTTGCCAATTTTTAAGTTGTCTTTTTTTAAACCCTCACCTGAGGATACGTTTATTGATTTTATTTGTTTACTGATTTTAGGGAGAGGGGAAAGGAGAGAGAGAGAGAGAGAGAGAGGGAGGGAGGGAGGGAGGAAGAGAAACTTGTATCAGTTGTCTCCCATATGCGCCCTGACTGGGAATCAAACCTGCAACCTTGTGGTGAATGATGCTCCAACCAGCTGAGCCCCCTGGCTGGGGCTAATTGTTGTCTTTTTGTTGTCGAACTGAATGTACTATCATTTTGAGGGAGTGTTTTTTAAAGTTTCCTGAGAAAATACGCTCTTTCTACTAGTCTGAGTTTTGCGTGGCCCAGCCCTGGAGGTTGCTGCTTGCCTTGCCGGTGACTTCCCGACTGCAGTTAAAGAAACAGGAAGGAAAGCAACAGGCAGTCTCTCTCCGGGTTAACGCTGGCGAGGCTGACCCTCCCATCCCACGCTTTCTTCCCTTCTGTTCCAGGCCATGGGCATCAATGACCTGCTGTCCTTCGACTTCATGGACGCCCCACCGATGGAGACCTTGATCACAGCCATGGAGCAGCTGTACACCCTGGGCGCACTGGATGACGAGGGCCTGCTTACTCGCCTGGGCCGCAGGGTAGGGGACACGCTTCTGGTGCTTTGGGGAGCTCCCCTGGCCAGTGTTCCCACGCTTTGTTTTGTGCAAAGTCAAGCTCTGAGGCCATGGATAAGTTTTGAGTACAATTCTAGATACCTGTTTTAACCTGGATTTTCTGCTGTCTCTTAAAACTCCTTCTTTACAGAAAAAGACATTTTATCCACAGTCAGTTTGACCTTGGCATGTATTATTGAGTCTGGCCTTAATTTTTAAAAAATTGATTTGAGAGAGAGCGGGGGGGAGGGAGAGAGAAATAATCCGTTTGTTGTTCCACTTATTTTTGCATTCATTGGTTGAGTCTTCTCCGTGACCTGACCAGCGATCAAACCCGCAACCTTGGCCTATTGGGTTGACGCTCTAGCCAGCTGAGCTACCTGGCCAGGGCTAGTTTCATCTTAATTTTAAAAGATGTCTGCAGAATTTCAACCTACACAACAGTAGTTATGTTCTTGGTAACACATGTATCTTTCATTGGGATTTCTTTGGGAAACAAAGAAACAACAACATCTTCTGATAGAGAGGGGCGTCTCACACCATCATGCTTGGGTACGCTTCCTGTGGTGGGTCTGTTGCCCACTCTGACCCGCGTCTCACATGGGCAAGTCCAGCTGGGTCTTGCACAAGGAAGAAACTGTAGTTTCTCCTTCTCCCGCTAGATGGCAGAATTCCCCCTGGAACCAATGCTGTGCAAAATGCTGATCATGTCTGTGCACCTGGGCTGCAGTGAGGAGATGCTGACCATCGTGTCCATGCTGTCTGTGCAGAACGTCTTCTACAGGCCCAAGGTAGGGCGTTCGGGCCCATGCTCAGGTGGGGCTGCGGTCGAGCCGGGTGAGGTCAGCCATTGCCCGGTGCTGGACAGGGCCACGTAGGGCTCCTCGGGACTGCTGGGTGTTCACTAGCAGCTGTCGGGTGGAAAATGACCTTCCCCCACTGTTTGGCAGGACAAACAAGCCCTCGCCGACCAGAAGAAGGCCAAATTCCACCAGACGGAAGGAGACCACCTCACCCTGCTGGCCGTGTACAACTCCTGGAAGAACAACAAGTTCTCCAACCCGTGGTGCTACGAGAACTTCATCCAGGCCCGTTCTCTGCGCCGGGCCCAGGACATCCGCAAGCAGATGCTGGGCATAATGGACAGGTGACGTCTGGTGTCTGCCCTGCATTTCGGTTGCGCTTCCTTGAATGTCGTGTCTCTTCATCTCTGCGTGTACCCGTGGGGCTGTGGACTCCTGTGTAACGCTTTTCCTCCCGCTTTCCCGTCTTTGTTATATTCCTCCCCACGCAAGGGTGCAGCTGAAAACCACTTCAGAAAGTTCCTGAGAGGAAGATGATTTATTGTTGGAAAAAGAAAAACCTTTGCTTACAAGTCTCTGGAACATTATTAGTTCCCCGTCCCTGGGCAGAGCCACCTGCAGCGCGCCTGGGGCTGGCTGTGCGTGGGGGCGCCGTCGCTCCGGCAGGTGGGGCCTCTGGACACACAGTCGTCTCACATCTCGGCCCTCCCTCGATTTCCTTTCCCGGCAGGCACAAGCTGGATGTGGTTTCCTGCGGCAAGTCCACGGTCCGGGTGCAGAAGGCCATCTGCAGCGGTTTCTTCCGCAACGCTGCCAAGAAAGACCCGCAGGAGGGTTACCGGACCCTGATCGACCAGCAGGTGGTCTACATCCACCCTTCCAGCGCGCTCTTCAACCGGCAGCCGGAATGGTAGGCGGGCGGGCCCCGGCCCGGGAGCCGCTCTCTGTAGAGAGGACCTGGGAGTCTGCTGGCCCTCGGTGTTCACGGCTTCCCCCGCCCCCGGCGCTTCCTGTCCCGACATTGCTTGTGTTTCCGGGGCAGCAGAAGCCTGGGTTCGGCACAGTCAGACCCTTTTGAGAGAAATACAATCATGGAAGTGAGAGCTGGGAAGGATCTTAGAGATCATTTAGTGAGGTTGTTTAAAAATTAGTTTTTTCAAGTAGCATTTTAAAAAAGTTGTAATCTTACCTGCCCTAAAGTAAAACTGGTTTAAAACCACTGGGCCGCCGTGGCAAAGGGAAGGGGAGGCGGAGCCCTGCGGGCTTGGCTTTCCCTGTCCCCTCGTGGCAGCCGCGGGGGCTCCCCGGCGCCTCTGCAGGGCCCTGGAGCTCTGGGGGGCAGCCTGAGGAACCACCGCCCCGTTTCACAGAGCAGGAAGCTGAGGTCCAGGGACGAGACGTGGTTGGCTCTGTGTCACTTAACTAGTAGGAAGGAGCCAGAGCCAGGTCCAGAGCGCATCATCCTGACAGCTTTCTGGCGGTTAGAGGTGTGCAGCCTCCCCAGTACTGGAGTGTGGCTGTATGAGGAGAGACTGCAGTCTTTGGGGGTCAGGCAGCAGCAGTAAGAGGGTCAAATGCAAGCCTGGCTGTGGCCCACCGGGGACCAGGGTGCCTGGGGTGGGCCTGTGCCGGAGGCCTGAGCCTGTCTCTGTCCCCCGCAGGGTGGTGTACCATGAGCTGGTGCTGACCACGAAGGAGTACATGCGCGAGGTCACCACCATCGACCCCCGGTGGCTTGTGGAGTTCGCTCCTGCCTTCTTCAAGGTCTCCGACCCGACTAAGCTGAGCAAGCAGAAGAAGCAGCAGCGTCTCGAGCCCTTGTACAATCGCTATGAGGAGCCCAACGCCTGGAGAATATCGCGGGCTTTCCGGCGGCGCTGACGGGCAGGCCCTGCTTGCCTGAGCTGCAGCGGCGGCCCAGGGCTGGGGGCTCACCCTTGGCAGATGCTGACCCTGTGGACACGGCTCTCCAGTGGCCGCGTATCTAATTAACTGGACTCTTTCCTTACTCGATTTGCATTTCTTCCCTCGTGGTAAACTAGAAACAGGGATTTATGCCCGGTTTGAGGAGAGCCTTTTGCCCCCACTACCCTAAGTCACCAGGGCCACCTGGGGCTCCCAGCCAACACAGGGTACGCTGCACCAGCTCCAAGGAGGGCAACTCGTGCAGCCCTGGGACGGGAAACGGGGGTTGCAAGCATCCGACACCTGGACGCACAGACCGATGGGCGTGGTGGGCACCCTGCTGCCCTGCTCGGTTCTCTGGAGGAGGGAGCCCAGGAGCTCGTTGGAAGTTTCAGCCCCGCCTCTGCTCCTGTCCAACCCCTGCACTTTCGACCGACCTCCTGAAAATATTTATTTTCTTAAGGAAACAAAAATGACTTTCCTTGAAGGTTTCTTTTAGCTGAAAGGTTAGGAAATTGGCCTGGGCTCAGGGTGGGGAGGTTCAGTGTCTGTGGCGCTGGTGCGCATGGTGGAGAGTCCGCTGGGACCAGAACCTGGGGCCCCTCTGGGCTGGGAGCTGATGCGCAGCCTGGACCCCCAGTCAACCTCAGCACCTGTGCTGTGCCAGCCCTGCTGCGGTCCTCCCCCGACCAACCACACCCACTGCGCAGGCTCTCGGGGCTGCGCGGGCGCCTGAGCCGTTCCAGATGCCACATGTCCACTGCGGAAGGCTCTCCCTGTCTCTCCCGCCCACCACACTCATCATGTGCAGTGTATCCTATTTCCTTTTGAAACTTGTGAGTAACGACAAAGCTTTTGTTTTGTTTCCCCTGAAGCCCTCACTGGGCTGTAACAAAGGGCGTTTGTGGTCAAAGCCTCCCCTCCCCCGCCCCAAACTGAAAACCAGCATAACGCCGGCTCGTGCTGCCCAGCATCCATGCTCCGGGTCCGCACCAAGTGGTTGGCCCCCAGCATTCCGTTAGGGAGTGACCACCTCCCAGGGCCCCTTTCACCGTGTTTGAGGGGGCTGTTGACCGGGAAGGACAGACAGGTGCTGCCGGGCCGGGTCGTGGGACGGCTGGTGAGCTGTTGGAGACGTGAGGCTGGTTTAGAAGTCCCTGGGGAACTGAGCACACTGTATGCCAGTGGGCTGCACTGCCTCCCCCATGCCCACTCTAGGAAGCTCCGAAATGATGTAAAAACTGGAACCGCCACAGAATTGCACGCCAGACACTGAGACTGTACGACATTCTAGGGAGTGAAGGGATGTGGGCTGTCGTTGGGCAGCGGACACATCACCCCGAAGGCAGTGCAGAGAAGCGAGTGGAGAGGCACACAGGCCGAGGAGTCTGCTGGCTGAGGCCCCTGCCCCTCGTCAGAGCTGAGCGTGCTCCTCGGGAAGCTCAGGCCTGTCACTGAGGGTGGGGTGGGGAGTTTGTGTGCTACCAGTTCAGCCTTCTGGGGAGAAGGCAGTGCAGGGCCGGTGGGGGAAACGGGCGTGGCAGCGGGGCTGGGCACCCGGCCCACCGATCTTAGTTCCAGCCCAGCTCTCCCCAGTTCAGCAACAAACTCGGCTCTGCAGCCTACCTGTCCCTGCTGAGTGACCAGCACCGATGGCGTTGGCATCTGTGAGACCATAGCCCCCAAAGATGGCATTTTTGGCTTTGCACTCAGGTTGAGAAAGGGATGTGTAACAGGGCCCGTCATCTCTCTGGGTTTGCTGCACGGGGAGAAGGGCCCTGGCTCTGTGGGTGTTCCTTGAGCATCTCCCATGGGAGCTGGGGCTACTTCTCCGCTGCAGCAGCACGGTGGGGTCTGACCTGGCAGTCCGTCCGGAGCCGGCACGCGGCCACGTTGCCTAGCCCGCGCAGAAGGGGGCCTCCAGCCAGGGTCGGAGGGCGGGCTCGCCCGCTGCTCCCACACAATGGGGCCCTTGTTTCTCCTTGAACCGGTATTACCCGAGCTTGAGTGACAGCCCAGGAGAGGATGTGGGTCTCACGCAGGGAGCTGGAATCTTCTTGGCCATTAAAGTGTGTTCACTGCACCCCTGCGGGAGCCTAGCTCAGGAGTTTCCTGCCCCGCACATGTGCTGAGTCTGTGCTTGTTTGTGTGTGTGTGTGTGGGGGGGGGGTGCCGTCCCCGTGGGGCGGTTAAGCGCTACTGCTGGGTCAGGCCTCCCGGTTCCAGGTTCCCCGTCGTCCGCTCCGGAGCGCGGTCTGGTTTTGGCTGCCTCTGCTTCAGCCCAGAGAATTCCCTGCGCTGGCTGTTGCGTGCCTCCTCCGAGCGGTGCCCCTCCAAGCCGAAGGCTTTGAACAAAGAGCTGTAAGGAGTGGCTTGTTCATGAACGTGGGAGGGCAGAGGTCGCACGTCTCGGCCCGTGGAGACCTTTTCCGTGATGCTCTCGTGGGCCGGCACTCAGGACCCATTCCCGCCCAGATTTTACACCGTCTCACGGATGGCCTGGCTTTCATGTGGAATTAAATCACAGATATTTTTTAAGACTTGTATTTAACATTGTTCTTTTCCTTGCTCTAAATCGTAAGTGGGTACACCAATGCTTTGTTTAAAGGGGGAAAAAATTAATGTTGCTTTTACTTGTGGGTAGTGGCTGAGAGGCATCGCCTCCTGTGGAGGCTGTCGGGTCTCACATCAGCTTTGGGGGGAAGTGGGGCAGGCATTCGTGAGGGGAGGGCGGCCCCGGCTCGCGTGGCCGTGGCCGTGATTTAACCGGAGAGCGCCTGGCTTCTGGCAAGCTGCGTGCACAGGGGCTGGGGCCACAGCCACCCCCACCTCTAGATGTCACCGCTTTCCCAGCCCTGCCTTTCCCTCTCACCCCCAGAAGCCTGGGCCCCGGGTTCTAGTCTCTCCCAGATCTGGGCAAGGAGAGTCTAGGTTTCTGCTTCCCTTCTCTCCAAAGATCTAGTGTCATTTTCCTGGTGACCAGAGAACCCAGGGCTTGTTCCAGCCTCTCCCTTCACCCTCCTGCCTGGGGATGCCTTTCCCCTCCTCCAGACTCTCTGCAAACTTTCCTCCTCAGCTTGGGCAGAAACAGCAACCCGGAGCCACGGCAGGAGTGCGGGGTGGGTACACAGTTAGGGTGCATGTGGGTGGTGTGGCGCTCGGGAGCAACTGTGGTCACGGAAACCACAGGCCAACCGCTGCCCGAGCAAGCCCCGGAGTCCCCCCGGCTCAGGGATCCACCCCAACCCCTCACCCACACCGGGGGGCAGCTGCCGGAACCATGCTGCAGGTGACCAGCAAGCACTGGGCTAGACTTCAGAGTACCTGGTGTGCGTTAGTCCAGGGTTCGCACACGGTGATTCCGGGACTGGGAAAGGCCATATGATCCCTGAGCCCATGAGTCCGTTTTCCAGAGGGAAAGTCACAGGTGAACTGTCTTCTCACAAGAACCCATTTGTAACCTAAGTGTTGGGGTCAGGCCCCAAACCCTGATCACCTGCCCCAAGGCCCAGCTCCTTCCAACCCCAGGCCTTCTCTCAGTGGCAGCAAAGAGCACACAGGAGAACAGGAGACGCGGGGGCCTTTATTAGGGGCTGGCAGGTGTGGTGGAGGTGGAGGTGACATCCCCAGGCCTGGGCCTAGGAACAGGTAGAGCAAAGGGCCCTCAGAGCAGGCACCCAGCCCTCCTTGGCTCCACCAGCAACCCCGCCCCCACCCCAGGTCCTTCCTCCACCTCCCCCTGCCTCTGGGAACACAGCACCAAGAACCGGCAAGCAAGCAGGACCCTCCGGGGCCGCAGCTTGGAGTGGAGTACAGGATCCAGGCTTCTGCCTCCCCGCCGTGGGAGATCTGGGGAGTTCAATGCAACCCTCTCCACCAGGACAAAGTGGGGGGGGCATTCCTTTTTTGTCCCCCAGAACAAACTCTTATTTTCTGTGTTGGGGGAGAGGGAGTGGGGCTTGGGCCTAGGAAAAGGCCAGAGGTGAGACCCCCAGGAGTTTCTGAGATTCCACCTTTGCACTTGCGTCGTCTCCACTTTTCCTTCCCACGGACTCGGGTGAGCAGCTCAGAGCCAGTGGGGATTTGCTCCAAAGACATCTGTGGATTTCAGAGTGGAGGGTTCCCCCAACCCCAAACTCATCTATATGTACACAGGGCAGCACCCAGGCGGCAGGGGGGCAGCTGCTGGGGGCTAGTAGGAGTAGCCACCCTTGGGGCCAAAGGGCTGGGCAGGGCCAGCCAGCTCTGGGAGGTAGGCGGGGCTCTCGTCCAAGTGGGACAACGGAACTGTGTCCTCCTCACTGACGGGCCTGTCAAACTCGGCCTTGAGAGCGGGACGCTGATTGTCCGGGAAGGCCAGAGAGAAGAGGGCCTCGGGCTCGCACACAAACTTGTACACGTAACGCTCGCCAGCCACCTGCGGGGAGAGAGAGGGGCCGCCGGGTCAGTCTCCCCTCCCGCCCAGGCCCACGGAGGGTTGGGGAAGGGGGCCAGGCACATGTGTGGGGTACGTCTCTCTCCCATACTGGTTCCTCTGAGCAGCCGCCTCCCTTTCCTCTCCGGTTCCCCTCTGATCTCTACCTCCCATGCTTTGGGCTTCGCAGTTAAGGTTCAGCACTCCTTTGGGAACAGAAAAACCTTGGGATTGCCCACAATTTCTTGTCCCTTCTGACTGCTTCATTATCTGCTCCTACAGACTCGCTGGGAATGCTCTTCCGTCCCCTGTCCTCAACACCTTTCCACCTGCCCCCGCCCTCTGGCCCCTGACCCCTTTGCCCCTGACCTTCTGCATGATGCCTTTCTCATAATAGTATCGGAGTGATCGGCTCAGTTTGTCGTAGTTCATGGCTGGCCGGTTCTTCTGGATACCCCAGAGCCTGGCGACCTGGTGGGGGAACAGGAGGGTTTGGGGTTGGCCATGCTAGCTCAGCGGAGGAAAAATGGAGGGGGGGCAGGTCAGAAGGAACACTTGAGATTCTTAGGGTTAACTGCTGAGCTGGCCCTGCAAGGAGGCACCAGCCCACAGACCCGGGTTTGGTAGGAATTCGGGTTAGGTAAAGCCACGGCGATGGTGAAGACACATTCCACTGGTCCCCAGGCGCTCTCATCGCCAGGCCCCAAAGCTGTTGGGAGGAGAGGCGGGGACATCCGAGAGGCCCACCTCCTCGGGCTCAATGAGTTTGAACTCCATCCCCCGGCCTGTCCAGGCAATGAAGTGGGCATTTGTTGGGTCATCCAGCAGGGCCACCAGAAACTGCCACAGCTGCAAGGCACCCCGGCGCTGGTAGGGCGGTCCCTCTCGGAACACTCCAACCCCTTCCTGCTTGATGTCTCCTGGGGATCACAGGGAACGAGGGTGCAGGGTTTGCGCCTTCGGGTCCCCCAGGCAACCCTCCTCCCAGGGGTCTCCCCAGGCCTTTGCTCATGAGATGTCACGCCATTCCCGGGTGACACAGCCAGAGGGCGTGGACAAGACCCCTCGACCCTCTCGTGAACAGTCACTTCTCTGACCTTCAAATTTCTCAGGGACGACACAGACATCGTCTGGGAATGGTCGCCCAGGTTTCTCATAGCCATAGCCTGGAGGAGGAAGTTGGGGGCCACTCAGGTCTGGGGGTTCCCCAACGAGACCCCAGAGTGTCTAGAGGGACTCCTGGCCAGGAGACCCTCCCCTCCATGGCAGAACGCCCTCTCCCAGCTTGGAGGGCTGGGCAGGGAGGACAGGGCCGCCTTACCCACGGTCCCGTCGCCCGGAGGGGGCCCAGGAAAACCCTCCGGGGGAAGGTACATCGAGGCACACCCAGGGACATCTGAGGGGAGAGAGAGAAGGGGGGCGTCACAGGAGGCCGTGGTGGAGATGTGGGCGGCAGGCCTATGCACAAGTAAGAACTTCCTGCCAGCCTGCTTTCTGGTCCTGCTCCCGGCTGCCTGCCTGCCTGCCACCAGTCCCACGGGAAGTTCACCCCGAGTGGGTGTGAGGCTGGAAGCCCCTCAGCTTGGGGGCTGGGCCAGGGGGCAGGGAGGGCAGCAGCTGGGGCTGGGTAAAGCCCTTCCACAAGGCCCAGGATTCCAGGGAGCAGCTGTTTCCTGTGAGTTTAAGGGGAGGCGGGAGGGACAGAGATGAACCTCCGGGGAAAGGGTCCAGTGTCCGGGTCTAAGACTCCCTTGGAATGGGCTAATCTCCGGTCAGCAGGTCAGATTCCCTGCCCAGTATGCATGTGAGGGAGGGGTGAACGGAGGAAAGGAGGGTGTGGGGGGGGTGAGGGGGTGGGGAGGGAAAGAGACTGCATGTATCTGTATCTGGGGGAGAGGCAGTGCACACGGGCCCGGCTTTTTTTCAGGTCTTATAGCAGAGAACATTCCACTCCATCTCATTCCAGTTCCGTAGGATTGAAACCTCCCCAATCCACCTGGAGGCAGTTGCTAGCGTGAAGCCACCCGTTCAAGCTCCAGCCCCTTCGGCCCTACCCCCTCCACTCCCACCTATGAATGAGATGGTGAAACCTGACACCTCCGGGAGGAGGCGGGAGGGTGGGCTCATTCATGCAACCATTTTGTGAATGGAATTCCTGACTCCATTCAGAGGAAGCTGAAGGGGGAGGGGCAGGAGTTCAAGGGCATGTAACATGATCTCCTCCGGTCTACATCCTTTGAAGGTCAGCAGCAAGAGCGTCTCCCTCCGCTTTCCTGCATCTCACTGCCAGACAGGGCTCTCAGGCTTATGCCCGGGGTTGAGGAGAGGTGCACCCTTCTGGTTCTCACTCGGGTAGGTAACCTGGGGGTTTGTGGTTTATTCCCCTGCCCCTGAAAGACTGGGCATCAAAAAAACAACAACAAAAAAGGGAAATTCGAAAGCTCTGGCCAGCTATTCTGAGCCTACTCGAATAGCTGAATTTAGTGTTCTCATGCAAGTTTGCAGAGAAGCTCAAATGTGGGGATGGTAACAATGTAACAAGCCCAGGTTTTCTGGACTCTTCCTGGGATGGCCCTCCCTCTGCACTTGAGGCTTTGAACTGCAGCTATTTATGAATACGGCTGAGGGCATCCCGCTCAGGTCAACGCCAGGTGGAACCCGAATCTACAGCAGTCCCGACTCCGGTACCCAGCGGGGGGCGGGGTCATCCATCAACTTTTAGGCTCCAGCGGGTTGCGGAAACCGCGCGTTAACCCTGATTCCCAAGTGGGAACCAGGAGCCTGGCTGGTTTGGAGTTCATGTTTCTCCTCCTTCAAATCCCTTTGTGTTTTTAAGCGTCTGTGGGGACAGAGGACAACCTACTCATCTTACTCATCTTTGTACCCCCCAACTCCACGCATTCACGCTCTCGGACAGTACTTTGGCCTCCGCGGGTAATTAAACCCCCAAACACCTGCTAAACAGACGCAGAAAGAAATGCCTTCACTTTCCTAGTAAGTCCCAGACTGCTCGAGGGCAAGGACCTACATCCCATTGATCTGAATACAAGTTTGCTGACTGAAAAATGACCCTTCTGTTGCAGCTATGAAGAAAAAGCGAATGGGTTAGATTGATGAACTAGGA